CCCTGCCCTGCTACTGCTCTATCAGGGTTTCTCTGTGCAGGTTTGAGCTCCTTCAGAGCGTGGCAGACTCTGGGTAGTCTGAATGCAAAATTGGTGGCATGGGCTCCCTTGCAAATCCTTCAGCAAAGGAGGGTGAAGCTGTGCCTTTAATATTATGAGTCTTACGGCCATGTAAGACTCTTCTGTGGAGGGTGCATGGACCAGGAACCCACACAGATTCAAAGGGAGGAGCTTGATTCTACCTATGATCAGGCTGTAGCAAAACTACACCACAAAACCACACTGGGATGTTGAGTTGTGACTATGGGAAGTAATTTGACACGGGGACCTAAAGCACAGTGTTTGCCTGGACTTGTCTGTGTGCTGAGAGCAGTGGGAAGGTAGGTCTTACAACTCAGATGAGAAAAAAATCTGTCGGAAGTCAGCTTCGACAAAGCTTGTACATTACAGGCTCGGAACGGGAACGTGAGGATTAGAATTATTAAGCAAAAGCAATGGAGATATGTGAGAAACAGAACAGCATCAGGAGGGACGTTCAGTGAATACTGAACTCGCCTCCCTTAGTTTCCACACGGTTATATACTTCACGCCAAAAGGGGCGGTGGCGGGGCAACAGACTTTATTAACATGATATAAGGAATAGACTTGAATTCTTTGAACCTTGGTCTAGGTGGAACGAATCCACTTCGACACTCAAAATACGAATTAACCACACCCTAAATCAGAATCTCTCTTTTGTAGCTGCACCTGTTTTTATACTATGAGAGAGTAAAGATAAACTCTCTGACTTCCACTCAAGAGAGAATAGGCTCACAGCTTTGTGGGCCCTCACAAAAATCTCAACTGGGCGGTGGTGGTGCAAGCTTTTAATTCCAGCACTCAGGAGGAAGAGGCAGGCATATATCTGTGAGCTCATGGCCAGCCTGGTCTACAGAGCAAGTTCCAGGACAGATCCCAAAGCTATAGAGGAACTCTGTCTCAAAAAACAAAACAAAACAAATAAAAAAAAACAAAACAAAATAAAACAAAGCAAAAATCCAAGCAGGATTTAAAGAGTAACCGCATATTGAACAGAAAGAAAATCTAAGCAGGTTTATCAAGGACAAGCTAGGACCCTAATAACAGGTATAGGTATATGGTTGTATGAAACAACTGTAATTAGTATCAACATTTTATATGAATAATCCTAGCCACATGTCTTGACACACTTTTAACTCCAGCAAAACCCAGGACAGACCTGAAGGTTTCTAATCCTGTCACTGGAACTGGGCAGGTGCCGCACCTGCTAGTGATGAGATAGTCTAATTAGGGTTATCCTGTGCCTTCCTTTACTGGAGTGACATTAGAGCGGGTGTGTACATTATGTCTTAGGGTTTCTATCGCTGTGATGAACACCATGTCCAAAAGCAAGCCATCTCTGAAGGAAGGCAAGGCAGGAACTAAAATGGGACAGGACCTGGTGACAGGAGCTGATGCAGAGGTCATGGAGGAATGTTGCTTACTGGCTTGCTCAGGCTGCTTTCTTATAGAGCCCAGAACCAACAGCCCAGGGATGACTCTGCAATGGGCTGACCCTCCTCACTGCTACTGTTATAAATCATAATGTAAATATCTGTATTTTCTGATAGTCTTAGGTGTCCCCTGTGGAAAGGTTGGTGACCCATATGCTGAGAACCATTGTAGAGGCTTGCCTGTAGTCCAGTCTTAGGAAAGCATTTCCTCAATCGAGGTTCACTCCTCTCAGGTAACTGTAACTTGTGTCAGGTGACATAAAACTAGCAGCACAACATCGGCCCTGTTGAAAGAACACTTACAACATCTGTGACACAGAACGGAGGGAAAGGGCATAGTAAAAAGGAGATCACAGTGACACTGGTGTGCACAGGCTGAAATGCACAGATGAGTGACATCATTCCCACCTCCAAATTCACATTCCCTCTAGTGCTTTGTCCTATTTGCTTTCCAATAAAGTAGGGGAAGTGTGGGAGACAGCAAGATTGTGCTGAATGAGTGTAGACAAACTCTAAAACTTGAGCCTTTTGGTTCATCTGTTCTTTGTTGCAGATTCCCCTGAATACACTTGAGGACTTAACCATGGTAAAAACATGGTTATGTGACTTATCCCTGGGGTCAGATTAGTGATGCATTTGTCTGACCTAATATTCTATCTGTTGGGCAAAAGGAGACTTTAGTTGTACTAGAATTGCAGGATCCAGTTAGCAATGGCTACTACTTTGAAGTGCTTATGTGCACCATACCCTGTGCTCATCACTTTTACATGGGCACAGGATACTATGTATTTCACCCCCATTTTATGGATGAAATAACTTTCAAGAAAATGTTATGTTGTGGAATATAATTTTAAGGTGTGTTACATTTGCTTAAGGATGTAAAGATGTGTTGCTTTTGTTTATGTTGCATTTGTTTAACTCTGTGAAGCTGTGATTCTTAGCTGTCTAAAACACTTGATGGTCTAATAAAGAGCTGAATGGTCAATAGTGAGGCAGGAGAAAGGATAGGCAGGGCTGGCAGGCAGAGAATAAATAGGAAGAGAACTCTAAGAGCGAAAGAAGGAGTAAGATAGACAAGGGGAAGAGTATGTCAGGGGCCAGTCACAGAGTAAGAATTAAAGTAAGATATACAGAAGTAAGAAAAGGAAAAAAGCCCAGAGGGTAAAGGTAGCTGGGATAAAATAAGAAAAGCTGGCTAGAAACAAGCCAAGCTAAGACTGGGCATTCACAAAGAAGAATAAGACTCTGTGTGATTTATTTGGGAGCTGGGTGGCTGATCCCCACAAAAGAGCCAAAAAGCAAAGAGTAAAAAACAACTAACAATACTACATAGCTCTAGAATTCACTATATAGGCCAGTTTGGCTTATGGAACTCACAATCATCTGCCTGCCTCTGCCTCCAGAGGGATTAGAGGCATATACCACCATACCCAGCCTATTTTTTTTTTAAAAAATTTATTTTGTATGAATGTTTTGGCTGCGTGAATGTATGCTTACCACAACTGATGGTAGTCAGTTGCCTGATGTCTGAGAAGGACATAAGAGGGCATAAGATCCCCTGGAACTGGAGTTACAACCAGTTGTGAGCTACCTGATGTGGGTGCTGGGAATTGAACATGGATCCGCTGCAAGAGTGGAAAGTGTGCTTAACCTCTGAACCATCTCTCCAGCCCCAATATAATATTTCTTTTTATTTTCCTGTGTGTGTGTGTGTGTGTGTGTGTGTGTGTGTAGGCTTATTATTTCTTATAAATGCTTGGTCTTAACTTGGTTTGTTTCTTGCCAACTTTTCTTAAATTATCTTGTCTACTTTTTGCTTCTGGGCTTATACTTTTCTCTGTTTCTGTATTTCTTTTCCTTCCTTCTTATTTTGTGTCTGGCTGGGAAGCTGACCCTTTCTTTTCTTGATCCTTGATCTTCTCCTCCCAGATTTCTCCTTCTATTTATTTGCTGCCTGCTAGCCCAGCCTATCCTTTCTCCTGCCTTGTTATTGGCCATTCTTCTCTTTATTAAACCAATCAGGTATTTTAGACAGGGAAAGTAACACAGCCTCACAGAATTAAACAAATGCAACATAAAAGAATGCAACACATCTTTGTATCACTAAAAACAAATGTTCCACAGCATAAACAAATTAACACATCTTAATATTCCACAACATAGTGAGACCCTATCTCAAAAAAAGTTGCATAAAGTACTGATTTAATATTATTGTATGCCCAGGTGGTGCACACCTTTAATCCCAGTACTCTAGAGGCAAAGGAAGGTGGATCTCTGAGTTTGAGGTCAGCCTGGTCTACAGAGCCAGTTCTAGGACATTCAAGATTACAAAAACCTGTCTCAAAAAACCAAAATACTTATTTATTTATATTTCATGTTTATGGGTGCTTTTCTGCATATATGCATGTGCACATGTGTGTGTGTGTGTGTGTGTGTGTGTGTGTGTGTGTGTGTATGTGTGTACCATGTTAGTGCACGGTACTGATGGAAGCCAGAGGCAGCACTGCATCTCTGGAATTGGAGTTATAGATGGTTGTGAGCTGCCATGTGAGTGCTGGGAATCAAACCCTGGTCCTGTGCTCTTAACAAGTGAGTCATTCCTCCAGGTTCTGGCTCTGCAGTTTAATGTCTGAGACTTGTAGCTCACAAGTCCTCAGAGGCTTATTGCTTTGGGCTTTGAGTGTCAGTAGCCAGCACCCAGCTAAGTATTACAGCTTCTTGACTCAGAGTGCCAAGACTTTTGGCTTGTAACCTTTGGCTTTCTGCAAGAGCACATGTGCTCTTAACCTCAAAGCCATCTTTCCCTCTACTTTTCCCTCCCCTCCTCTCATTTTGAGACAGGGTCTCACTCTGTAGCCTAGGATGGTTTGGATGTAGCCTTGACTAGCTTGGAACCCACAGTAATTCTCCTGCCTCTCAGGTTTCCTAGGCATGAACCACCACACCTGGTTAGGTCTTGGTTCTGAAGATGCTTCTAAAGAAGTCTTCCATTGTCCTTGAGTTCAAAGTACTTAGCATGCTAAAGCAGCATTATCTTCTGAGCCCCAGTGTTAAAACCAACTAATCAATTAAAACTTACTTGCCAGATGTTAGTAGATTATAGAATGCTCAGTTACAAAAAAACCCAAAACTTAGCAGTTTGAAATTTAAACTTAACTAGATTTGCTAGCGTCACACGGTGAAGTAATCAAGAAAATCAAGAAAATCTGCGACCTCCCAAGGTTCTGCCCCTCCTTCATTGTGTACCTACAAGCTTCTTAGACTTTATTTCTGGAAACGAAGGGTATTAACTCTGCAGGCAGGTGCAGTATGTGCTGCAAGCAGCCAGGAGATTGCCTGGGAGGCCTGCTGGAGCCCTGCTCTGATCTCGAAAATACCCATGCCAAAGCGTCTTCCGGTACAGGTCGCACGCGACTGGCCGGAGGTCGACTGCCCGACTCCAAGATGGCGTCTGCAGCAGCCTCCAGGAGCCAAGATGGCGACCCGCAACCGCGCCTGCGCTCTCAGGTCTCCTCCCCCCTCCCCCCAAGCCCGGCTGGGGTTGGGGGCGCGTCTACCGTTGCCGTGCGCCGGTTGTCTTCCACCGCAGTGGCTGTCGCCGCGGCTCCCTGTCGCGCGCCATGCGTCTCCTCTGCTGGTGGCAAGTACTGCTGTGCGTTCTGGGCCTTCCGGCCCACAGCCTGGAGGGTGAGTGCGGGCCCGGCCGGGGAAGGCGGCTGCGTGGGGGCGACGCGCTGCTCCTCGCTCGCCCGGCGGCAGTGCGGGGCTATGCGGGGCTATGCGGGGCGGCTGGCGCTGGAGGCCCAGCCGGTCTGAGCGGAGGGAGTATTTGGTGCTGGCCGAGGCATACCCTGATTGTTGCTGTGGCCATTAGAATCCCAGAGCCCTGCGTGATGCCTGCGTCATGGTGTCAGTCCCGGTCAGTCCTTCCACCGGCGCCGGGAGACAGCTTCTGTTAATACCGTCATCTCACTTGCTGGATGATATGCCCAGGCTCACAGGGGATAAGCAGTTTGTCTGTTCGCACTTCCTGGTAAAGACCAGAGCCTGAAGTCTCTCTGACTTCAGAGTCCCTGCTGGAGTCTATCCTGCTGGACCACTTTTCGAAGATGGCCACTCTTGCTCAGTAGGTATCTGCATGAGAGAAAGACCAGAAAACCAACAGCAGATTACTGGGGCCCATGCGTATAGAGACCCCCCAAATGAGGAAGGGAGCCACTCCGTGGGGCTAGAGTGGAAAACGGAGAGAGGCCTTAGTTCATGGCTCTTTTATCCACCCCATTAAAATCCATTTCTTTAGAATTTATTTATTATGTATACAGTGTTCTGCCTGCAGGCCAGAAGAGGGCACCAGATCTCATTACAGATGGTTGTGAGCCACCATGTGATTGCTGGGACTTGAACTCAAAACTTCTGGAAGAGCAGCTGGTGATCTTAACTGCTGAGCCATCTCTCCAACCCCCTAAAATCCATTTAACAGAAAAAGGTTTTTCCTTCCCTGGGGATGTCTTGCAGGGAAGCATTGCTGAACTCAGAGAACGGTGGTGCATAATAGCACAAATTATTATTATTTGGTGTTTTTGAGACAGAATTTCATGCGACCCTGGCTGGCTTTGTAGTCACAGTTCTCCAGCCTTCACTTCCACACCAAGAATTTTCTGTTGCCGGCGTTTGTTCTCAGACAGCCCTGACTGGCCCCAGATTGGTGATCCTGCTCCTTGCCCAATGCTGATTACAGACCTCAATGCTTCCACTTACGGATACCTCACCTGAAACTGAGACTCAGGACCAGTAAATCCCTGGTTCATGTTATACAGCCAGAGTTGAGGGCCAGGGTGTAAGCCCATGTCTGCCAGATCTCACAGCCAGGAGTTGCTGTTTTCATTCCATTTGCTCACTGGCCTTAAAAACGAGGAAGGTGTATGGATAATGGGCTCTCTTGACTTTGGAAGGCACTGGAACAAAAGATAAACGGGTGAGAGTGTTTGTTCTCCTCGCTTGGTTCCCTGGGGCTAATTACTGGCCTGGTCTGTCCCTCACCAGAAAGCAGCAATGCTGGGAATGCCAGGAAACAACTTTCTTCAGCCCCTGCTAGCTGTCCCAAGGCAGCATCTCTGCAGCAGCCATGAGATCTGTGAGTGGTACCCGGCTTTCCCTTTACCGTCCTGATCTTAGCATTCTTTAATGTTTAAAGCCAGATATGGCAGCTGAGGCCTGTGATCCCAGCACTGCAGAGGTTGAGGCAGAGTCAGGAGTTCAAAGCCAGCCTTTGCTATACAAGACCCTGTAACAAGTAAACAAAAGAAACAAAACAATATTACTTTTAGTTTCTCTACTTCTGTGCACACATTGATAGTCACCCGCTACAATCTCAGGTTTTCCAGGGTTGGTAGTCACTGTGAGCTCATAGCAAAATGCAGGCTACATTCATACATTCATGTGGACTCTGAGGATAGCCCCAACTTACTAGGGCATTGGTCATTTGCTAAGATATAGACAGAGGATAAAGGAACCATCCCAGCTGGTTCCTTCTCAGAGTGACTGAAAATGCCCCCCCAGCAGATACTACTGATAGTATTAGCACATGGGGCTAACGGTGCTGCCCAGGTGCCTAGGATTGTGGGTTAGCACCTGCTCTGGCAACCCAAAATCCTATGGTAGACTTTACTAGGCAGTCAGATAGCAGACTATTATTTTGTTATTTGTTTGTTTGAGGGCTGTCTCACAATGTAACCCGTCCTAGTTTGAAGTTAGAGAATCCTCCTGCCTCAGATTCCCCATTTCCAGCATTACCGGTACAATTTACCACATCCAGCCCATTTTCAGAGTCTTCCCATCCATTGTATGCTGTGCACTACTGGCACCGGTGTGCAGGGAAATACATCGTATGCCGTGTACTGCCGGCACCAGTGTGCAGAGAAATGCATTATATGTCGTGTACTGCCAACACCTGTTTGCAGGGAAATGCATCGTATGCCGTGTATTGTCAGCACCTTTGTGCAGGGAAATGCATTGTATGCCATGTACTGCTGGCACCGGTGTGCAGGGAAATGCATCATATGCTGTGTACTGATTGATGGCACCGGTGTGCAGGGAAGGATTAGGCGAAGTAGAGAACCTGCCTTCCTATCTGCAGGGCAAGGCAAGCATCAAATGAATATAAATTATTGAATGAATTATAAGAGTGGAAAATATATCAAGGAAAGCACAGGACATCACTGGGTGCCATCTGGAGATTTCTTGCCCTGATCTAAAGGTTAGGATAGAGGTCCTTGTAGAAGTGAAGTTTAGTGCCTCCATTCAAAGGATATTGGATTCACCTGGAGGTGAAGAGGTGTGGGTAGAGGGCTTTTTTAGCCGAGAAACCATCCTCCGAAATGGTCCAGGGCAGGTCGAGGACAACCAGAGTGATGGGGACCAGACACTATAGAGTATAAATCACGCGGGTCAGGGGAAGTCACTGAAAGTGTGTATATTGGGGAGAAGTGAGAATAGGTTTGCCCAGCAGATTATAGTTCCCCTTGGACCGCCATGAGGAGCAACTTTACGGAGGAGCTCTGGGAGATGGAGGTCGGTACAGCAGTTGTGCAGCGGGAGGTGGCTGTAGCCTGGTCTGGGCAGTGTTACTGGAGGGGGCAACAGTGGATGGAGTCCGGTTGTGGCATTCTACATCTCTTTGAACTGTAAGCACCCCTGGCTACCGTCACTGTGATGTTCATGTCCTAGGACCGAGGACATCTCTCCTCTACCCCTCACAGTAGTCATGTACGTTTCCCCACATTGGTGGCATTTTCTCATTTGTTATGGAAGCATGCTGGGGATTGCCTTTAGGAAGCTGAGGTTCGCTGCCCCCCCTTAGCCCCAGCCTGTCCTGCCTTTCCTCGTTAGGCTTCCTTGCACAGAAGGCAGAGGGTCTCCTGAGAGAGGCTGAGTGGTGGGAAGGCCCCAACTCTGGGTGGTGCTCCCTGGGAGAATGGGCCCAGTGCCCCCATTATCGTTTTACTTCCCGAGCAATTTACTTGAAACTCGTGATACAATAATTGTCATTTGATGCATGGCTCAAGCTATGATCAGTTTGTCAAGTTAAAGAAGAAATTATCCCTCCTCTCTTTTGACAGGGTCTCACTGTGTAGCCCTGGCTGGCCTGGAACTCACAGAGATCTGCTTGCCTCTGCCTCCCAAGTACTGGGTTTAGAGATGTGGGCCCCTGTAGCACGAATTCTAATCGGTCTTCATAATAAAAACCCAGAGTCAGATATTAGGGGGTGAAAGCTGAATGATGAGAGAAGCAGAGCAGTGGCCACTAGGTTTTACCTCTAGGACAGCCTCCGACCAAATGGGGCATCCTGTCTCTACAAGTCCAAGACTGGATGCTCGGAGCTCCTGTCTCCTCCCACCTTATAGTCCTCTCTCCACCTCCCTAGTGCTGGGATCAAAGGTATGAGTTCTGTTTCTCTTTTAGATTGATTTAATCTCATGTAACCCAGGTGGCCTTGCACTCACAGAGATCCATCTGTCTCTCAAGTGCTGGGATTAAAGGTGTGTGCCACCACTGCCTGTCCTCTATGGCTAACTACTGTGGCTTAGCTCTGCACTCTGATCTTCAGGCAAGCTTTATTTGTTACAGCACAAAGTATCGTCACAGGCCACCATCATTATTATTTTCTTAGTGTCTCTGTTATCTTTTCCTAGCTGGTGGTCTTCACTGGATGTTTTTTTTTATTTCTTTATTTTTAAATTGTACTTCATGTGGCAAATCACAGATTTCTAGTGTGTTCTGTGTTTATCTTTTTACTTGGCATCTATCAGTACAGCACTCCTGACTATGGTCCATAACTGGAGAAGGTAGGTGACTCTGATAGGAAAATGGAAACCTTTTCTCTCCATCAGGGTAGTTCTGCTACCCTTATCTACTTGGAAGATAAGTCTTTGGGATTTGTTGGCTTTGGAGTCAACATGACAATATGCTGCCTTGCTTTAGTTGCAGAGGAGAGTGGCCATGCGTGGCGGGAAGAGCAGCCTGGCCCCCCTCTTCAGGTTGGGGCCCTCTATCTGCATGAAGAGGAGGCCGCACAGGGACATCAGGGCCAGGCGAAGGTGGCAGAGCCTGCTGATGCCTCGCTGGGGCCCGGTCCTCGTGGAGATTCCGTGGTGGTGCTGTCAGTGATTCCCGGTGCAGCCGAGGACCAACGGAGTGTGGAGGCCCCAGATGGTACCTGCAGTGCGCTGGGTGAGGAAGACCCTCGCTGCAACCAAGAGAGCCTCTTCGCACTGCATGGTGCGGGCGGCTTCCCAGAGCGAGAAGAGGAGTACTACCCGGAGCCTGGAGTGGCGGAGGCCGAGCCTGTAGCCACCGAGGATGCCAACAGCACCGACAGCCTCAAGTCTCCCAAGGTGAACTGTGAGGAGAGGAATGTGACCGGGCTTGAAAATTTCACCCTGAAGATTTTAAACATGTCCCAGGTAGGAAGCCTGCATTAATGATGTCTGTCTGTCTACCTGCCTGCCTCTCTGTCATTCCTTTGTCTCTCCAAACTCATCTTATGCTTTAATACTCCATTGTTTATGATTTAATGCTCTGATACTGATTCGATACTCTATACTTAGGATTTAATACTCCAGTGTTTATGATTTAATGCTCTGATACTGATTCGATACTCTATACTTAGGATTTAATACTCCAGTGTTTATGATTTAATGCTCTGATACTGATTCGATACTCTGTACTTAGGATTTAACGCCCTAGTGCTCGTCAGCTTTTAGATGGACGTTCCCTGGGCTGGTCTCCAACACCTGGGCTCAGGGAGCTGTGACCAGAAGGCACACGAATAATAAAATCCCAGAGACAGATATTGGGGTTCAACCTGAAGTTCATAAAAGCAAAGCAGCCAGCCACTGGGTCTAACTTCTACCTCAGACCGAAATGGCGATCCTGCCTCCATGAATCCTCAGCATGAGACTGAGCTGAGACCTGTTTCCTTCTGTTTTATATTCCTCTGTAGGGCTGGGATTAAAGGCGCGTACCACCACCGCCCAGCCTGTGTGGCTGACTAGCTCCACTGTAAGCGAGGGTGGTGTTGAGTGACTTGTTCTCGGGGCATGTATGGGAAAAGATGAAATGTTACTGCCGTCCGCCATGCAACACTGGACAGGGTGCTGCAGGCCTGGAATCCCGGTTCTGGGGAGGCTGAGACCTGCAGCTCCTGCTCTTTTTTTGACAGGTCTCAGAAAAGACAGGTGTTTGGGCAGGTATCCTAGGTTGGTCTTGGATTTGCTATATAGCAAAGCATGACCTATGACCTTAAACTTGGTTCTTCTGCTCCCACCTCTGGGTGCTGGGGTCGCAGGCCTGGACCACCACACTTAATTTTATGAGGTGCTGGGGTTTGAACCCACGGCTTTGTCCATGTAAGCACTCTTGTAGCTGAGCTGTATTCCAGCCTGCTGTCTTAAAAAGAAAAGATTTTTTAAAAAATTAATGAATTAAATGTGCACTGGTGTTTTGCCGGTGTATACTCTGTGTGAGTGTGTTGGATCCCCTGGAACTGGAGTTACAGATGGTTCTGAGCTACAGTGTGGGTGTTAGGAATTGAACCTGGGTCTTCTGGAACAGTAGTCCTCTTAACCACTGAGCCATCTCTCCAGCCCCAAAAAGATGTTTTTTAGGTGACCAAAAACTAGTTATTCTTGTGATAATCTTACCTCCAAGTCTCATCAAAAACATTCTACTGATAGGTGCTTGGGGTCATAATGACATTTTTCTTTTCCTAGAGTTGAATGATAGACACCTGGCTAGCATGTGTAAGGCCCTGGCTTCAATCCCCAGCACCACCAAACAATAAATGACTTTAAAAAAATCTGAATGAGGGGCTAGAGAGATGGCTCAGCAGTGAAGAACATTCTGCTCTTCCAGAGGATTCAGGTTCAGTTGCCAGCACCCGTATTGGATGGCTCACAGTCACATGGAACTCTGGCTCCAGGGGATCCACTGCCCTCTTCTGGCCTCCTCAAGCACCTGCACTCTGGTGCACACACCAACACTCAGATCTACACACATGATTAAAACATAATAAATCTTTTTATAAGAAAAGAAAATCTGAACTTGAAGCATAATTAACAAGAACTCAGAGATGTAGATTGGGTTCAACCTGAATACCTGAAAAGCAAAGCAGCCAGCCACTAACTCTTACCTCGACCTAGGTTCGAAATGGTGTTCCTGCCTCCAAGAATCTCAGAATGAGACTGAGACTGAGAGCTGTCTCCTCCCATTTTATATTTCTCTCTAGTTCTGGAATTAAAGCGTGCACCACTGGAATTAAAGGCATGCACCAGTCGGTTTCTGTGGCAAACTTGTGTGGCTACTGGGATTAAAGGTGTGTGTCACCATTTCCTGGTCCAAAAGGCTGACCAGTGGGGCTGTTTTACTCTCTGACCTTCAGGCAAGCTTTATTAAAATACAGATGAAATGTCACTGCATGAACTACTAAAGCTACAGCTGAATATTTCTGCTGGAAAATGTGTTACACTGAGAAGTTCTCGTCCTCTAAAGAATGTGAGTCTAGTGTTTGTTCTGCAGTGAGTGAGTCCATTGTACCAAACCCAGCCACGTTTCCAGATTCTTAGATAAGCGATGACTCCCCAAGGGTATTCTGGATAATGGCTGACAGTTGCTGTCGATGGTCAAGAAGCCAGAAGGGCAGGATACAATCAGCCTGCTTACATGAGAGAAGCAAACTCTAGCTCTGGGAGCCATGACAGCTCAGTGTCATAGAGGACATGGTATATTTAATTCATGAAGCTTCTCTGGGGACCAGGGTCAGCGGCTCTCACTCCTTCCAGAGTGTCTCCTAAACACTGTTCTCAGGCCATGCAGGACTGGTTTGCTGTGTCGCACATATGACCAAGCCAATCTGGGTTGTAGCTTAAACAACGGTGGCAGGAGCAGTGCCCCTTGGCTTGCACTACCCTTTGGCCATACACGTTGATCTTATTTCTGCCAGGATGGCACTTGGGAAATATTTGATGTGCTATCTTTTTCTTCCCAAAACAAAATACCTGAGGCAATCAACTTAAAAAAGCTCAGTTTTGGAACCATCGCTTCACTCCACTGCTTTTGGGCCTGTGGTGAGGCAGCATACCATGGCGGGATCTCATGCTGGGAAAAACCTTCCGTGCTGGGGACTGGGAAGTACAAAGAGAATGAAGAGACCAAGGTTCATGGTGGCGCACACCTTTAATCCCAGCCCTGGGGAGGATGAGGCAGGTAGAGCTTTGCAAGTTTGAAATCAGCCTGGTCTGTATAGTGACTTCTGCATATATAAGTTAGCCAGAGCTATATAACGAGACCCTGTGAATGAAACAAAGAGGTCCAGGTTCAGCAATCCCCTTCAAAGTCATGCTCCCAGGGGTTAAGAGCACTGGCTGCTCTTGTAGAGGACCTGGGTTCGATTCCCTGCTCCCACATGGTAGCTCACAACTGTCTGTAACTCTAGTTCCAGAAGATCTGATGCCCTCTTCTGACTATCACAGCGCCAGGCACACACGTGGTGCACAGACAAACAGCACAAGACTCATAAACAACAAAGGCATGCTCCAGTGACCTATGACCCCCCCACTAGAGCTTACCTTCTGAAGTTGGAACTATTTTTCAATATTCCGCAGGCTGAGGAGTGAGCTTCCAACAGGAGTGCCTGCTGCTTTTCCAGAGGACCCAAGTTCAGTTCCAAACACCCATGTTGGGCTCACAACTGCCTGTAATTCCAGTTCCAGGCAACCCAATATAGTGGCTTCAGGAGAGGGCAGAGATAAGTGTGCCCTGGCCCTCATAGTGCTTTTCTGCCAATTCATGTGTTCTTTGGTTCCAAATCCCGACAGTGGTTAAGGGGTTCAGTCTCCCTCCTCTCCGTTCACCCGCTTGCTGTTCACTCGCTGGAGGCAGCTGGGAGTCCTTCTTGGGTATCCTTTTATAAACATGCCCCCATGCCCTTTTTTTTTGGGGGGGGGGTTGCTTTGTTTTTTAGACAGGGTCCCTCTGTGTATCCCTAACCGTCCTGGAACTTGCTCTGCAGACCAGCCTGTCCTTTAACCTAAGGAGTTTTTCCTCCTTGCCTAGGCCACACATATGCATTTAATGCTGATTTCTAACTGTTGTCTCTTTCTCTACAGGACCTTATGGATTTTCTAAACCCAAATGGTAGTGACTGTACGCTGGTCCTCTTCTACACCCCGTGGTGCCGGTTTTCTGCCAGCCTGGCCCCTCATTTTAACTCTCTGCCTCGGGCATTTCCAACTCTTGGCTTTTTGGCATTGGATGCATCTCAGCACAGCAGGTATCTTTGGTGGGGTTGTGGCTTGTTCTGTTAACTGATGGCCGTAGTCATATAATGCCTTTGTTGGTTAAACTTCAAATAGGGACTAGGCAGTGGTAGTGCACACCTTTAATCCCAGCATTTGGGAGGCAGAGGCAGGTGGAAATCAGTCAGTTTGAGACCAGCCTGGTTTACAAAGTGAGTTCCAGGACAGCCTGGGCTGTGCTACATACTATAGGGAAGAGGCCTTTGTAAAGGATGGACGGGAAAAGGCAAACACAGAGGCTGCTGGTTGCCAGGTTCCTCTGAGCACTGGTGGTGTTGGGTTCTAGAAGTCCGTAATGAAATAGTCCTGTTGTGTGTGTGTGTGTGGGGGGGTATAAGAATGGCAGGAAATGGCATTTGATGGCAGGGACATGGCTAGAGGACCAGGTTAAATTAGCACAGATAGTATCACGTAGGGGGTCTCTGTGATGGTAGCCTACAGTGTGGGTCTCAGCCCTGTGCTGTGCTGGGTCTGGGCATGTTTTTGTTTTTTTAATTGTTGTCTTCTTTTTAAAGTGCATTTATTTATTTATTTATTTATTTATTTACTTACTTACTTATTTACTTACTTACTTAACGTATATATATGGATGTTTTGGCTGCATATGTGGCTGTGTACTGCATGCCCATGGAGGCTGGAAGAGGCTGCTGGATACCCTGGAACTGGAGTTATGTGAACCACTAAGTGGGTGCAGAGAATCAAACTCAGATCCTCTGAAAGAGCAACCTGTGCTCTTAACCGTTGAGCTATCTCTATTACCCCTTCTTTAATCTTAAAAAGATTATCATTTATCTGTCTTTGTGCATGTGCTTATGTGTATGAGTGCCTGAAGATGCTAGGAAAGGGTGTCAGGCCCTGAGAGAGAGAGAGAGATAGAGAGAGAGATAGAGATAGAGAGAGAGAGAGAGAGATAGGGGAGGTGAGCACTGGACATGGGGTGTCAGGTCCCCGAGAGAAAGTTTCATTATTTTTACATTTGTTTATTGATTTAGTGTGTGTATGTGTTTTGACTGTTTATGAAGAAATAAGTTGTCCCTCAAATTAATAATTACCATTTTTAAAAGACTTATTTTGTTTTTTAATTTATGGTGTGTTAGGGTGTGTTAGAGGAACAGAACTGATAGACGGAATCTGTATATGTTAATCAGGGATCTGTTAAGAGTGGCTTACAGGCTGTGGCCCAGCTAATCCAGCAGAGACTGTCTCCAGCAGTTGTTCGGTCCACGAGGCTGGACATCTCAGCTGGTCTCTAGTCTACACTGGAATCCCTAAGAAGTAGACACTAAAGTCAGCGAAGGAACGCCCCTGAGCAGGGTGGAAGAACTTGCCAGCTAGGGTGAGGACAAACAGGCAAAAGGCTAAAACTTCTTTCGTGTTCTTTTATGTAGGCTGTCACCAAAGGTTTGGCCAGATTTAGGGTGTGTCTTCTTAACTCAAATTATATATATTTTGGGTGGGTCTTCTTACTTTAAATGACCCAATCAGGAAAATCCCTCACAGGTGTGTCCAGCTGCTTGGGTTTTAGTCGATTCCAGATGTGGTCAAGTTGGCAACCATGATTGGTCATCACATATGGTATGTGAGTGTCTGCATGTGTGTGGAGGCAGGAGAGTGTCAGGTCCCTGGAGCTGAGGTTATGGGCAGTTGTGAGCTGCCATACACAGGTCACTGCGCCATTCTCTTCAGCCCTAACTTAGCGGCACGTCTCGCTGCTCCAGGATAGTGTCTACCACGCCTGGCCTCAGGATAGCCACACTGGCCAGGCTCCAAAGCACACTAGACTCTGGCACTTAGGCCTGCACTCCCTCCCAGAGGCTGTTGGCAACGGCCTCACTGCCTTCCTTTGCCTCCATTGAATATCTTATGCCTGAGTGTGAAGGACCCTTGTTTTCATTACAGTGGCTGGAGCATCTGTTTGATTCATCTGTCAGTGTCTGAAGGACCAAAGTTACATGGCTCGTCCAGCATTGACTGTTTAGTCATAGGAGAAGCCGAGGCTTACTTAGTGAGGTTAAATAATTTTCCCAAAGGTCATAGGGGGTTCTGTCCTTAAACGATGGTCAGAACCTGGACTTGTCTGTGTGAAGGCAAATCAAGCCTGCAGGCTGGTTCTTCCGAGTTCTCCCTTCCTAGATGTCAGCCTCCTGGCGTGTAGGTTGATTCATGGATTCCTTTGAACCAATTTGCCAAAGAATTGCTTACTATGCTGATCTTTTTTGAGGGAGGGATGGGCATTATGAAGTTTGATTTTTTTTTCTTGTCAAATAAATTGACACACTTTGTTTTATCCACGAATTAGAATTTTCTGGTCTGTGTTGTTTTGACATTTGGAATTTAAATAGTGGAACCACGGGGTCATGGCTAGAGCTGTGTGCTAATATTAATTGAGTGGGATGGCAGAGTAGGAATGCCCGAACCCTGACCCTTGAGGAAGTGGCGAGGAGCAGACCAAAAGTCAAGAGTTTGACATGGGCAAGCCATGTGAACAAGCGTGTTTGGGATTTTCTAACCTGCTGCCTTCTTTCTCCTGTAGCCTTTCCACCAGATTCGGCACCGTAGCTGTCCCTAACATTTTGTTATTTCAAGGAGCTAAACCCATGGCAAGGTTTAATCACACAGACCGAACTCTGGAAACGCTGAAAATCTTCATCTTCAATCAGACAGGTATGCAGAAATAACATCCTGAGGGGGAAGAAAGACATGATCTCACTCTGCAACCCTGGCTGTCCTGGAACTCGCTCTGCAGACCAGGCTGGCCTCGAACTCACAGAGATCCGCCTGCTTCTGCCTCCCGATTGCTGGGATTAAAGGCGTGCGCCACTGTCATGTGTTCCATTTATTAATCCGTTTGCAGATGTTGTTTGAATTCCTTAGTGTTTGCCAAAGCTTATGGCCCTATGGTTTATTTCTTGTAAAAAGTTTGATTGTGGTGAGCTGAAGAAATCTTCCCCTGGAAACTGTCTCTTTTTAAAGACTTACAGCCTTGGCCATGAGGGTCCCCTTCTCTCTGAGGCGTACTTCCTGGAAATGAGTACAGTTTAGAATGCACCTCAGTGCACATTCTGCTCAGTTTTCTTCTAACATGAGTGAGCAAGGATCCTCATTAGCTCAGAGGTGAGAGGCTGCAAGGTCGCTGGGAATCCGGAGCCTTGTCCTGGATCCCTGACTGGTGTGGGGAGAGAAAGCCATTGATTGTGTGTAGTGCTTGTAACTAAATTCTAGGTGCCTGCTATCTTTAGCGATCATTGGCCCAGTGGTGGATAATCATTCAAGCGATTCTCTCAGTAACTTATTTAAAGGCATCTTGACTTTAACATAAATCAACCCATGGGAACATTTGCGAGTGGTCTTACTTGTTGAGCTTTGGTCTTAAGAGAACAAAAGTCTGCTCTACCAGGACGTTGGCTAGAAAAGCTTTGAGGAGCCACAGAATCTCTGGAGGTTTAGCTTTGAACTGCTGGACAGATTCCTGACCCTTTGATGTGCTGGGAAGAAAGGCAAGTGACAAATCGCCCTGGCACGCTGGTGAAATCCGTCCAAGAAACGCTCACGTGCTGTTTGCTTTAGGGTCGCTTGTCATTTTGCATGCCACGCATCATGTTGCAGACAAGCCTTAGATGTGTTTTCTCTCTAATTTGAAACAATTGATTTCTCTTTCAGGTATAGAAGCCAAGAAAAATGTGGTGGTAACCCAAGCTGACCGAATGGGCCCTCTCCCCAGCACGTTGATAAAGACCGTGGATTGGCTGCTTGTATTTTCCTTGTTCTTTTTAATTAGTTTTATTATGTATGCTACCATCCGGACTGAGAGCATTCGGTGGCTGATTCCGGGACAAGAGCAGGAGCACGCGGAGTAGAGGCTAAAGGGAAGAGGAGGTGCCCAGCGGGACTGATGTTACAGTCGCGGGCATTTTCTCCCCAAGCAGAAGTTGAATTCAGGAATCAAGTTCTTGTTGAACTACTGGAGGGCTGGAAGGATTGCGTGTGGGCGTGCTCTTACTGTGAGAATTCACAGATGCAGAAGCGCTCGCTAGAATCGACTGTTCTTGATTTTAATACTTGAACATGATGAACTCCTCTCCCAGTGTGGTGAAGCAGGAAAGTGCTGTGTGAGAAAAGTACCAGGAGGGGTGTGGGCCTCTCGGTAGCACCTGATGGGAAGTAAAAAGTCACATGCCCATTGTCCTGTGGTCTCTGCTTTCTCTGAAAGAATTCCAAGTGGTTTCACTTGTTTCTAGGAATAGCAGATGTTAGGGGGAAAATAAACATTCTAATTAAAACCTGTTAATTCCGTGCTGGAGCATAAACTTCAGTCAATTATATAACAGTTTTGCACTATTTGAGCCTTAAAACTCTGAGCACTGAGCTGGGTGATAGTGGGCAAACCCTTGGTCCCAGCACTTGGGAGGCAGAGGCAGGTGAAACTCTGAGTTGAAGGCTAGCCTGGTCTACTGAGTGAGTTCCAGGATGGCCATGGCTACAGAGAGACTGGATTGAAAAACCAAAACAAACGAATCTGACCCTGAGCTGGGTTGAGATCCAAAGGAACTATGAAACACCATTCTTGCCTGAAGGTTGAGTCTGGTCATGTTGAGGACACATTTAGAAAAGAGACGACATGGGCTGCTGGGATGGCTTAGCACATAAAGACGCTTGCCACCACGTGTGAAGACCTGAGCTCAGTCCCTGTGTCCACATGGTGGGAGGAGAGCACTGACTTCTAAAAGATGTCTTCTGACCATGTGCACACAGGCTTAGAAAAGTGCACATTTTATAGAGACAACATATAATTTATACAAGCCTCTTTTTAAAATTATTATCATTGTTATTGGTTTTTAGAGACGGTTTCTCTGTGTAGCCCTGGCTGTCCTGGAACTCGCTCTGCAGATCCTCCTGCCTCTGTGCTTTGCGTCTTTTGAGACAGGGTCTCGTTGTGCAGCCTTGACTGGCCTGGAGCTTGCATTGTAGACAAAGCTGGCCTTGGATTCGTGGAGATCCTCCTGCCTCTGCCTCCCAAGTGCTGGAATTAAAGGCCTATGCACCATGCCTGGCTTGATAAATTACTCTTATACTAATTTAGACATCACTGCGTATGGAATATTCCTCATCCTATAGAAATAGAGTGTTGTATTGAGAGCTTATGACTTTATGGCATGTATAACGTCACGAACAGCCCTTGCTGGGTGTCCACTGGAGAAGGGGACTGTGACTCAGAACACCATTATGTCTGTTTGCAAATGAGCAAATAGGCTGAGAATGATCAGGCTACTTGCCCAGCTTACAAAGACAGTAAGTTCTCACCTTGACCTGTAATTACAAATCAGAGAGGGAACAAACAAGCCTTAGTGATCCCGTCTCACAGGGACACTTGAGTCATTTCTGTGTGAATTCCAGGTACTGTTTAAAATTCTTTGCCGTACCGATTCAGTTACACATACAACTCAGAGATTGCTACTATCAAGTCTTCATTTCAGAAGGCAAAATGAAGCCTGGAATAACCCTTCGTTGTAAGGTTTTGTATTGTGTTCTTTGAATTGGAGTCTTGAGATGTAGCTCAGGCTGGCCTTGGACTCTGGCTCTCCCTGCCTCTTCCTCTTACTATGAGATTCCAGGTGTGTGTCACCACACGTGGCTCCAAGCCTACAGGAATGGCTCTGCCTTATTCTCTACCCTGGCCCGGGTGACCTTTGGATGTGTTTACCTCTGGTCTTTCGCCAGTGTGTTTCCGTGACAACAGAATTCAGCACTGGTCAGGGACCTTTCACTGTGATAAACTAACCCAAAGTGAGAGATGGAAGAAAGAGTTTATTTTGGCTTATGGTTCCAGAGAGAGTTGGGAATGTTGGGGAGGCAGAGAATAGGAAGGCGAGAGATCACCTTTTTAGCTGCAAACAGGAAGTGGAGAGAGTGGACTGGAACTGGGGCAAGGCGACAGACTCCCAAAACCTCTCCCCAGTGACACATCCTCCAGCCAGGCTCACCCTCTGGAGGTTCTATAACCCTTCAGACAGCACTACCAACTGGGGACCAAGTGTCCAAATGCTCTAGCCAGGTGTGTGTGGGGTGTTGCTCATTCAAACCACCAGAAGCAACTTTGATCTTTGTTATTTTTTGAGACAGCCTTCTGTGTGAGCTAGACTGGCCTCAGACTCTCCAGCTGCCCCAGCCCTGGGTGCCTCTATAGCTACTGGCGTGTGCTACCACACACATCTGGCATAACACCTTTGTTTATTTTGCTTATCAAATGATTAGTAGTTCACTGTTGCAAACACTTTAAGGCCTTTCCCTTTGTATTTAGTGTGTGTGTGCTCAGGCACGTGCGTCATGGCTCACAGGACGAGGTCAGAGGACAAGATGTGGGAGTCAGTTTTCTCCACATGTGGGTCCCAGGCATTGAATTCAGGTGGCCAAGCCTTGGTGGCAGCATTTTTACCTGCTGAGCCATCTTTCTGGCTCCCAGGAGTTTTCTCAGCCTTAGGGGTAAAATAGGCTTTGAAGTAAATTTAACATACTTGTCTATTAATCTGGATATTATCATAATATTCTCGTTTCCTTTGGAGTATCTTCTGGAATGAGAATTAGTCTTCTAAAAATGAGTTTTTAAGCCAGGCACAGTGGCGCACGCCTTTAATCCCAGCACTCGGGAGGCAGAGGCAGGTGGATCTCTTGTGATTTCTGGTCTACAGACTGAGTTTCAGGACAGTCAGGGCTATACAGAAAAACCCTGTCTCAAAATACAAACCAAAGAGGAAACATATCCTTTTTAAATATAATATCTTTTTTTTTTTGTTTTTTGAAGCCAGTGTGTCTAGAAGAGCAGCCAGTGAATGTCCTTAACTGCTGTCCCCAGCCCCGAAGAGACCAGGTCTTAGTCAGTGTTCCATTGCTGTAAAGAGACACTATGCCCACGGCAGTTCTTATAAAGGAGAACATTTAATTGGAGTGCCTTACAGTTCAGAGGTTAGTGCATTATTCTCATGGCAGGAAGCATGGCAGCACATAGGCAGACCTGGAGAAGGGGACATGGGGCTGGAGAGGTGGCCCCATGTGAAGCCCCTAAGCATGCCCCCAGTGACACACTTCTGTCATCAGACTTTTCTCTGGTCTGCCAACATGGATACTTGTTAATTGCAAAAGCTTGGCCTTTAGCTTAGGCTTGTCTCAACCAGCTCTTATTTAGTCTGTGTTCTGCCACACGGTGTTACCTCTCTTCCTTCCTGCAACTCCTGTCTCCTCTCCATTCTGGCTGGTGACTCTGCTTTTCTTCTCTGTCCTCTCTGTCCCCGGAGTCCTCTCTGTGCCCAGAAGTCCCATGTAACCTCTTTCTAGCTATTGGCTGTCCAGCTTTTATACCAATCACAGCACTACATTTTCACACAGTGGAAAAATAATCCCACAACACACTCCTCCAACGAGGCCACACCTACTGCAACAAGCGCCCCCCCCCCCCCACGTCCTAATAGTGCGACTTCCTGGTGTCCAAGCATTCAGATCTATGAGCCTATGGGGGCCATTCTTATTCAGACCACCACAATGGGAGGCTTTATTCCAATCTACAGTCTAGGGAGTAGAGAGGGTGACCAGGATTCCTAGCAGACCATTGGCTTTGCTTCTAATATTTAACTCAAACTACCTACATGGGTCCCCTGGAGGGAACGCAGAACAAGGCTATTTGTTGCCTGGAGAGGAGGAATGGACATTAGTCAGAAAACTGGGGTGAAGGGGAGGAGGTGGAGGAGCCGCTCAAGATTGGTCCCATTATCACAAGCCAAGCGTGACTTCCACCAGAGAGAAGCTCCCAGGAAATCTTTGCTAAGGGGCTTAAATCTTATTAATCTGGGTGCTTTTTTAAAATAATTATTTTTTGAACTTTATTTTTTATATGTATGTCTTGCCTGCATGTATGTGCACCACGTGTGTGCCTGGTCTACTGGAGGCTAGAGGAGGGCGTCAGATCTCCTGGTACTGGAGTTACAGGCGGTTGTGAACTGCCATTTGGGTGCTGGGAATAGAACCCAGGTCCTCTGTAAGAACAGGAAAGAGCCCCTAACCTCTGAGCCATGGCTCCAGACCTGAGAGCCTTTTTATTATTTTTTTAATATTTATTTATTTATTTATTTATTATTTATTTATGTAAGTATGTTTTTTTGAGACAGGGTTTCTCTGTTGCTTTGGAGCCAGTCCTGGAACTAGCTCTTGTAGACCAGGCTGGCCTCAAACTCACAGAGATCCACCTGCCTCTACCTCCCAGATGCTGGGATTAAAGGTGTGCACCACCACAACCTGGCCTGAGAGTCTTTAAAAAATCAAAAAAGCAAAACAAAAGTGTGTGTGTGTGTGTGTGTGTGTGTGTGTGTGTGTGTCTGTGTGTAGCTCAGAGGACAATTTGTGGCAAAAGCTCTCTCCTGCCACTAGAGGGTCCTGGGGACCAAACTTAGGTCAGCAGGCTTGGCGGAAAGAACCATTACCTGCTGAGCCAGCTTCAGGGCCCACCTGGGGGCTTCTTGGGTAAGAACAGCACTCACAGTGCCTCTGTTGGATGATGAGTCACTTTCCTAGGCCCTAACACCTTTCTCCTGCTGCTTTATAGCTAGACTTGAGATGCCATGGTCTAGACGAGCGTAAGGAGGGAAAAGATGCACCACTACGTTGATAACACACAGCTACCAATTCATTTTCTGTTCTCAGCTTCTTCCTCCCTCCTCCTCTTCCAATGTGTAGGCCAGGCTGGTGTCAAACCTCAAACCCCGCTGCCTGTCCTCCCGATGCTGAGATTCCAGTAAGTGTCACACGCCCTGCAGGGATCCTCACTTTAATATGCAAATTTCAAAAATATTTTCCATAGTCATAAGCATTCAGTGAAAATACTAGAAACAAGACTTTTAGTTTTTTTTTTTTCTGTAGTAGCACGAATTCTAGTTGGTCTTAATAAATAAAACCTGGAGTCAGATATAGGGGTGAAAGCTGCAGGATCAGAGAAGCAGAGCGGCAGCCACTACAGAGACCTTTTACCTCTACCAGTGCTCAGACCAAAGAGGCGAGCCTGTCCTCAGACTGCATCTCCAGACTGCATCTGTCTCCACCAAACCTCAGACTGCCTGAGTTCCTGTCTCCTCCCATCTTATATTCCCCTCTGCCCAGCCATATCATTCCTGTCTCCACCTCCTCAAGTGCTGTAAAGAT